TTTTGGGGACTGTTTGCAAAGTGGGGGGCTGGTCCTCATCCAGTGGGTCGTGACATTTGGATTCCACTTGGCTGCATTTCAAGGGCACATGTTGAAAATTATATCCCTCTGCAGTGAGATGAAGTTGTCATCTTGAATGGAAGAAGGTCTATTTATAATGACTTTGTAGATATTTTTAAAGGCCAATAAAAGGAAAAAGTGTGACAACTGGCCCGTGCCTGGTGTGCCAGACAATACTTGGTGGGTTTTGATGGGGAATAGGCACATTTCAGCAGGGCACAGGTGCATGCTCCCACAGGCAGAGTGTGGGAACATCCACCCTTTCCCTCCTGAACTGACCACAGCCAGGGAAGCCAGGCTCCCATGTCACACCAAGATCCTCATTTCTCACAGCTAGGGGAATTTGCAGAATAAAGACAGAAACATCAGGGTGTAATTGGATAAAAGTACCCTGGTTCACCCTCCCTCCTCTAGCTAGACTGCTGATGGGCTGAAAGCTTGCTGTGGCAGAAGACCACTCCTCTCCTCCCTAAGAAGTGCCTGGTGTGTTCAGAAACATACTGGGAACCATCAAACAGTGTGATTTAGGGTCAGCTTTGATCTCTAGGCACAGCAGTGGAACCAGATGCCTCGTTTATCTCTCCCTTCTGGACTACTGGCCACAGTAAGATAGGGTCTAGCCCTGCTTTCAGTGAGGTCAGCATAGCCAAACTACTCTTGTTAAGGGAAGAAGATCAGACCCTCTCTACCAGGAATATGCACAGTAATTACTCACTTGTGAGCTATGAAATTCAAACAGCTTCATTAAAATATGTTACGAGTGAGCTCTGTTCAGGGTTTTTTGTTTAGGACACTCTTCTAGGATGCCAACTGAAATGTAGCATTTGTGGGAATACTGCATTGCCTGAAGTACCAAGATTGTTGCATGGGTTGTGTTTGATCCCTGTTCACCTGCAAGCAGCAGAAAAATGAGCAAAGAGGGGTGGCATCTATTTAGGGTGTCTTCAGTTCTTCCAAGATGACCTCATCTGCCAAATGGCATCGTGACTGTAAATCTGAAGTGCTTTCCGTGCAAGGGCTGTGGTGCAATGACACCAATTGCTGAGATCTGGACAGAAAACATGGGTAGTGATGCCTCTGCCTGGTCCTGGTGTGGAAAACACCGTGCTGCCCCCTCAGGAAAGGATGGCACAGCCTGAGGGTTTCTCAGGCTTGGGAGCATGACCACCGTTTTCAACACGCCAAGACATCATCCCTAATGTTTCTTCACCACCTTTTACCAAATTGTATCCTTCTGTTCCTCAACTAGGTGACATATCAATTAAATATAGCCATCTTTGGTTCAACTACAGACAGTCAACAGTAGTCCCACCTATGGCTGGGAGGAACTGGGCATGTCCCTCCCTGTGCACAAAGGGAACCCCGTGCCAGTGGAATCCACTTCCCAGGGGTGTGAGCTATGCCAGATGACAAAGCAGGCACCTGAACCCCTCCCTGATGCTTTCAAATGGCCTGACCTCACCTTCAGCCTCCTCGTGCCTCCCCTCCTCTGGTGACACTGCTTTTCATGGTTTTTAGGGTGCATGATGCTTCCTTAACGTGCTGCTCTTTTCTGGAAGTGCTGCTGCATGGAGCAGACCACTTGGATGACCAGAGGAGGCAAGGCCACCTTCAAAAGTTTTATTTGGAAGGGTCTTCTTGGTCCATGAATAATTAAGATGGATAAGCCAGGTAGCTTAGTTACTTATCTACAGGTTCTTTGGTGGCACTTATCATTGCAACATCAGAGTGGCAACAGCCCAATGTGCTAATGGGCAGCAGTGCAACCCTGTCCTGCTGGTTGGCCCATCTCAGGGAAGCCTCTGCAGGAGGTCCAAGGGCTGGGAGTAGCTGGGAGTGGTGGCATCCCGTGGTGTTTGCTGAAAACATAGAGCTGCAAGAGCTTCTCCTTTCCTGTCTCTGGTGTGGAGAACAGGCCCCTTCTCTTGACTCTGAATTAGATATTCAACAGCCAACCACCCTTCTGCACACCCTGGTAGCCCAAAGGGCTAGCTGCTGCAGGGACAGGGCGTGGGCAGGAGGAGACAGCACTATGGAAACTTCATCAAAAGAGAGGAAAAAACATAGGAAAACACTGACCAACTTGCAGAAGTTTCCAGAGATGTATGGACTGCTCTGACTTGTCTGTCTCTGGAGAAACGGCCGCAAGCTGGAGCGTGCCATAGATCCCTTCATCCCTGGGCATCCCACCAATACCAGGCTCTGTGTGGTGGCTGGTCCAACAACCTGCTCACAGATCAGGGAACCAGGAGCAGCTCTGCCTGCTCTGATTGATGCACGGGCCTCTGTAGTGTTTCCAGGGAAATGTTGGCCAACAGGCTGCTCCCCTCTACAGCTGCAGAGATGGTGCTTTATAGCTTCAGTCTTTGGGAATCACCTTTTAAATGAAACTCCCTTATTTGCCTCTGAAACAAAACATGGTTCTCCCCAGCCTGGGTAGAAGGTAAAGTGGAAACAGTTAGGAATGTCCTTCATATTTTTTTGGTGTGATTGTATTTCTAAAGGAAGAGGAAAAACCAAAAGGACTAGAAAAAAAATCCTACCTTATGCAGGATATGTTCCTCTCTCTTCTCTATTGCTGAATTTATTACAGGTATGCTAGAGGCATCCCAAACTACAAGAAATGTCTTTAGAACTTCTAGGTATTCTCTTAAATCAAAAGCTATTGACTCAAATGATCTTTTTAGTTTAAGATCTCTCCAAAGCAAACAAGAAAGCATCTTGCCAAGCTGCCAAGAGAAAACATGCTAGAACAAGAGCGTGTGAAGTAGCTTCAAGTATGGAAACCTCTCCTCATGGACATTTTGTCATGCAGGCTGCTATTCATAACAAGGGGAATCACCTGCTCCTCTTTCTGCCACATAACATCCAGTGACAATGCCAGCAATTGCTCGCATGGAAAAAGGAGTAGGAAAGTACTTGTGTATTTTTAGCAGTCTTTTTAAAATCAGTTCAGCAGCTGGAGAACGACAGGAGAAACCAACACCATGTAGGCAATCACTTACAGATAAATAAATGTATATAAATATATACCTCGTATAAAGTGTGTGAGGTAAAACACAAGGGTGGACTCTGGGGACAAATTCTGTGCTTACTTATTCTGTGCCCTTTCATTGAGGATTCCAGATTTGTACCCGTGCTGTTGGGGGGCATCAGAATCTCCTTCTTTAGGGTACACTGTTTACTTTTTCTGCTGTATGCAACTTTGAACTGAGTCAGAGTTGGTTGGTTTTCTTGAAAAAAAAATTTTAAGGAGTTAAAAATTGCATCAGAATCTCCTTCATTAGGGTACACTGTTTACTCTTTCTGCTGTATGCAACTTTGAACTGAATCAGAGTTGGTTGGTTTTCTTGGGAAAAAAAAAAATTTTAAGGAGTTAAAAATTTTAAAAAAGAAAAGGAAATACAAATGGGAAAGAGAGAGAGAAAGAAAGAGAGAGAGAGAGAGAAAGAGAAAGAAAGAGAAAGAAAGGAAGAAAGAAAGGAAGAAAGGAAGGAAGAAAGGAAGAAAGGAAGGAAGAAAGGAAGAAAGGAAGGAAAAGGAAAAGGAAAAGGAAAAGGAAAAGGAAAAGGAAAAGGAAAAGGAAAAGGAAAAGGAAAAGGAAAAGGAAAAGGAAAAGGAAAAGGAAAAGGAAAAGGAAAAGGAAAAGGAAAAGGAAAAGGAAAAGGAAAAGGAAAAGGAAAAGGAAAAGGAAAAGGAAAAGGAAAAGGAAAAGGAAAAGGAAAAGGAAAAGGAAAAGGAAAAGGAAAAGGAAAAGGAAAAGGAAAAGGAAAAGGAAAAGGAAAAGGAAAAGGAAAAGGAAAAGGAAAAGGAAAAGGAAAAGGAAAAGGAAAAGGAAAAGGAAAAGGAAAAGGAAAAGGAAAAGGAAAAGAAAGGAGAGGAAAAGAGAAAAGGAAAAAAAGGAATAAAATGAAAAGGAAAAAAAAAGGAAAAAGGAAAGATGAAAAAGGTAAAGCAGTTCCAATTATTTCCTTCCTGGGGTTTTTGTGGAGGAAAAGGGAAAAGGAAAAAAAGGAATAAAAGGAAAAGGAAAAAAAAGGAAACAGGAAAGATGAAAAAGGTGAAGCAGTTGCAATTATTTCCTTCCTGGGGTTTTTGTGGTGCTCAGAGTTGTGAAGCTCATCACAGCCTGACTGCTGAATTCCTACAACTGCTTGAAGAGCTCAGCCAAAAATTCTGATACTGAGACAGCAACACAGAATCGGCTCAATCTAAAAATAAGGAATGATGCTTAGAAAATCGTGTAAGATTAATTTATTTAAAAATATTCCAGACACTTATATTTTTAAAAAGCTTTTGTTCTGAAGACTGAAGAAGAATATAAACAAAATCCAGAAATCTTAGACACAGTGAGGGTATTTTTAGTGTTGGCTTTTCCTTTTCTGGAAGCTTCTAATGTAACAATACCTTGCACCACAGTGCTGATGCAGGGATCAGTGGTTCATTAAAAGCTAATCTGTGAGCCATTAGGTTTACAAGTGTCACAGACACATTAGATTTGAGAACAAGGAGGAACACTGTGGTGAAAGGATTGTAAAACACACAAAGAATATCCCCATAAGTAGGTACAACCATTAGTTTTGCAGGAAAGCATTAGTTCTGAACATTAATTTTCTATGTGTAATTCCTCATCACAGCTGTTTAGGAAGTGGTATTATAGCAAGTTAGACTGAAATCAGTCAAAAGAGGTTTTATTTCTTATTTTTTTTTCCATTTGAGACGATCTCACTGGTTTAAGCAGCACTCTCCATACTCAGAAATCCCTCCAGCTGTAAAAAACCCCACCAAGACCGTCTTGAATAATTCAGCTGTCTTTGCTTGCACACAATCTACATACAGCCTTTTAGACTAACTCGTGGCTAATTCCTTCCCTATGAACATCAGTTATCTACAGGGGTTTTAGGGAGTCTCTATAGAAAGAGAAAAAGGCAGAAACAGCTTTACTTTTCCTCCGTGGAGAGCCGGTAAAGATTCTCGCCCAGGTACTCGAGCCTCTCCCGTTGTTCCAGGTCCTGGTACAAGCCTTTGGGAACCTTGCTCAGACCATAGACCAAGCCATACAGGCAGCCAGCAATCGACCCCGTGGCTGCACTTTCTCCTGCAAGTTTAAGCAGAATTTCAACAGGTTCAGTGTCATCTTCACCCAGCCAGCCAGAAACCACCCAGAAAAACCAGCGACAAACCCAAAGCGGAGCGCAGGGTGGGCTCCTGGGGTAGGAGCTGGTTTGGGTTTGGGGGAAACCCACTCCAACCCAACAGCTCTTGGAAGCAGCTAGCCATTGATGGGGAAAAAAGAGGGGATGGTAATTGCAGGAGTCCCTGCTACACAGAGTGTCCTTGCTCACAGCACAGCATGAGCTTGAAAACATCTAGCCATGGTGGCTAGCACTGCAAAGCTGCAAAAGTGATTCATTGTGTGCCTCCAAGTGCAAGATTTTATCTGCCTGGCACTTGACTGGATGCTGGATTATTTTTCATGCTGGATTATTTTTCTGCCTTCCTTGGTTTCACTCTGTGCAGCTAAAAGGTTCATTGCCAAAGGTGCTAGCATTTCAGTGGGGGAAGATGCCAGCCCTGGACAAATAATAGACTCACTGAATGTTTTGGGTTGGAAGGGACCTTTAAAGATCATCCAGTGCAACCCTCCTGCAATAAACAGGGACATCTTCAACTAGGTCAGGTTACCCCCAGTCCCACCCAACCTGACCTTGAGTGTTTCCAGGGGTGGGGCATTGACCAGCTCTCTGGGCAGCCTGGGCCAGTGTCTTCTGACCCTCACTGTAAAAAATGTCTTCCTTGTGTCTAGTCTAAATCTCCCCTCTTTTAGCTGAAAATCATCACCCCTTGTACTGTCACAAGAGGCCTTACTAAAAAGCCTGTCCCCATCTTTATTGTAGGCCCCCTTTAAGTACTGGAAGGCCACAATAAGGTCCCTATGGAGCCTCCTCTTCTCCAGGCTGGAGAACCCCAACTCCCTCAGTCTGTCCTAACAGGAGAGCTGCTCCAGCCCTTGGAGCATTTCTGTGGCTCTCCTCTGGCCCCATTCCCACAGCTCCATGTCTTCCTTGTGCTGAGGACCCCAGCACAAAGCCCTGTTAGATATACTCCTTGTGCAGAACCACGAGGTTCAGATGCAACCCCCCACGAGAAGCACCCCACACGACTTGTGTGGCAGCTGCTGCTGCGAGGAGGCGTTTTTGGGGGTCAACCCATGGGTGCTGATACAACACGTTGGCTGCTGGGCCAAGAGTGGCAGCTGAGAGCTGGGAGGTCTCTCACTCCCCCAGCCTGGGGGGTCCCTCACCTCCGTGGAACATGGAGCGGTTGCAGAGCTCCGTCCAGTCCCCGCCGCAGCCCAGGAGGGCGTCGTAGGCGATCATGGGGGCGTCGTGGCCTCGCCTGCCCCCCCGGCCCTCCGAGCTCCACCTCCTGTACGTCTGCAGAGAGAGAGGAGGGGGGTCAGGGGGGTCGCCAGGCGCCGCCACGGGGGGCACCGGCAAGGCCAAAAAGCAGATCAAGGTCGTTTTCCAAGTTCACGCCCTAAAAATTCCTTATTGTTTGAAAAATGAGGCTTGGCAAGGACTGACTTTGTCAGCTCTCTTCCTGCCTCTTGAAAATACTCTCAACTCCCCTGGTTGCAAGACTGTAAATGTTCCAGTTAGCCAGGTTTTACAGGGAGGGTGAAAAGTCTCCCATTCAGTCATTTCTTCAGGGGCCCAATTTCAGACTACGTTAACTCAAGCCCCTTCTCTGACATTTTCTTTCTCCTCTTTGTTGAAGCAAAGGGAAAATAATTTGCAGATGTAAGAAACATTTCTTCCCCAGGAGAAGAAAGAACTCCACCACCTCCAAAACCCACGGAGAGGTTTGCAAAGGAAAATAAGATTTTCTCTAGAGTAGGCACCTCCAGAACTCCTGCCTGAAATCTCCAAGTTAACGTAGCATTGAAAAATTTGTATTAAAAAAAAACCAAACAAAACCTTTCTTTCAAGGAAACGGGTGGCTTTGTTTCCCAAAGTTTAAATTGCATGAGGGTAGGTTGAATTTGTTACTATTTGACTGGCTCTTGGCT